AGCAGCTTGGAGGCCAGCCTGGGAAGCCTGAGACCTTGCCTCAAAATAAATCAATACAAAGACAAAGCGGTCTATGAGGCCTGCATCAGCTTCTGTCGGCCAGTGTCCTCAGTCACGCCACCAGGGCCATCTGGGAGCAGGGAGCTTTCGAGTTAAACAGTTGCTCACTACAGCTCTCCCTTCAGCATTCCCTGGCCTCCCACTCAAGAGGGGGCAGTACAGGAGCAATCCATCATCTGACTGGAGAACCTGAGTCCATCCATTCTTACGGGGACTGGAGAGGTGGCCCCGTGGTGAAGAGCACTTACTGCTCTGCTCCTGCGGAGGGACTGAATTCAGTCCCCTGCACCGGCCTCAGGCAGCTCACAACTGCCTGTAACTTCGGTACCAGGGGAAAACAATGCCCTCTTCTGGCCTCTGTGCACACATGTGCACACACACACACACACACACACACACACAGACACACACAGAGACACACACCACACAAAGTCTTTAAAAAATAAAAATAAGTTCCTTCTCGTTTAGTGTAAGCTGTGCAACATTGGGCAAGTCAATGACCTCTCTGTGCTTCATTACCCATTAAGGGGAAAAATGATGAAGATGAGTTATTGTCTCCAAAAGGTTTTTGTTGTTGGTTTTTTTTTTTTTTTTTTTTTTTGCCTCGAACTCACAGAGATCCACCTGCCTCTGCCTCCTGAGTGCTGGGATTAAAGGCATGTGCCACCACCGCCCGGCCTTCAGAAGGTTTTTTAAATTTATTTTAATTTTATGTGCATTGGTGTTTTTTTGTTTTTTTGTTTTTGTTTTTGTTTTTTTTTTTTTTGTGCATCCATGTCTGTGTGATGATGTCAGATCCCCTGGAACTGGAGTCACAGACAGTTGTGAGCTGCCATGTAGGTGCTGGGAATTGAACCAGGGTCCTCTGGAAGAGCAGTCAGTGTGCTCTTGACCACACTTAACTGCTTGGAGCCGCCTCCCCAGCCCCCCCCCACTTTTATGACAAATGAAAGAATACCCAGGGTGCAGTAATGACTACAGTTGCCGAATAACTATTATCTAAGCCTGGGGGCTGTTCCCTGCACACACTGGGGCCCTTGGAATACACTATTTTGTCAACTCCTCTAATAATCCTGTTGGTGGCCATTGCCCTCACTTCACAGAGGGACATCATCTGAAATTCAGAAACATCTGGTCACCTTCCCAAAGCCACACAGCCAGTCTCTGAGATTCTCATTTGGGTCGACTCTCCTCCAGAAACTGACCCTCAAGCACCACTCTGTGCCACCTAAATTCCCCCAAGTAACACACTGTCCCCCTTCCTTTTGCTCAAGCCACGACCCCCCATCCCGCATCCTGCCTGCACCGACGGTCTTCCAGTTTAAGAAGTTTCCTGTTGCAAGTTGCTAAAGGGCTTCCTGCCCTTGCCCCTCGCCCGCAGCCAGCATGCAGGACATCCCAGCAACATCGCCCGGCCCTGGGTCTCGCAGCCAATCGGCGTTCAACATCCAGCGCCAGGCGTCTGCCGTGAGTGGTGCCAGCTCAGGGCCTCCACCCATGAAGACTGGCCCAAGCCCTGCCCCAGCCCACCTGAAGCCCAAGCCCCCAAATATCCGGCGCATGCGCCGGATCATCTCTGAGGACGCAGAGTGGACACTGGCCATTGTACCACTCCTTACAGAACTCTGCATTCAACACATCGTCAAGAACTTCCAGAGTGAGTTCATCTGCCCTGGGTTGGAGGAGGGGGGACCACCATACCCCGGCCTGGGAGCACTCTTAAATCCACCCCCATCCAGCACCAGTGGTGTCTCCTGCTGTCCCCACCCCAGACACACACACACACACACACACACAC